AACCATAATTGATGGCGTAGGGATCACTTGAGTCTTTATTGGGATATTTTGTATTCTTTCTCGCCCGTAGTGCACGGAGGTTTTTCGTCGACAAATATTTCACTTACTTTATCAAGCTTTGACTATTTCTAGCCAGATGAGTTCTTCAAGGAAAAAGTCGTGGTACTCATTGTAAGCGCCACTGTCATTTTTAGAATAATTAAGTAATTTATCGTCCGCTGATTTGTCGAGAATTGGCCAATGAGAGTGTGCGCAGACGCTTAAAATGAAGTAATTTATCGCCCGCTGATTTGTCGAGAATTGGCCAATGAGAGTGTGCGCAGACGGTTAAAATGACGTAATGATGGCTCAATGTGTTTTTTTCTCTGTCGCTACGCTGTGCGCGATTTTCTAAGAAACCTCATCAATGAAAATGGACGTCGAAAACTGTCAATGTTATTGTGGAAAACAAATAGGTAACAATCTTCCTCATTCTATATAATACTGGGCCCATACTCAAAACTTTGTAGTAAACCAATCAAGGCCAATGTTCCACTTAGACTATGCTCATACGGCACCGTCGTTGCTGGTCAGCAACGACGGTTTACTCCTTACAAATAGTACATAGAAAACCTTGTTTTGGCCATTCAGAGTACTTTTAGATATCTATAAATGTATTCTAAGTGTTGCAATAAAATCTTTTATCTCTTCGGTCATCCTATTGGTCTTAGCCCCAGTTCAAACGTCGGACTTTTCATGTAACGAACTACGCGTGTTATAAAGACAATGGAAAGCGGATGAGCAAGTTCTGTTAATATGACTTAGCATACTCATTTTAGAATCAAACCAGGTTCCTAGGTTTCGATCTTCACAAGATGGAGCAATTTGGGAGTCCCCGTCCGATAAGGTACTGATGTTACTGACTTTCTGAAGTTGTTGTCGCGTTCCAATGAGAAGACATTCTGTCTTATCCGAATTCAGTTTTAACTTATCCGAATGCATCCATTTACTGATATCAGCAATACATGATTCCATGGCAGTTATAGCAGCAGTCTCCTCCAAATCATTTCCTGATCTAAACGCGATATACAGTTGCGTGTCATCTGCATAACAAGGGGGATCAGGAAGATGTGATTCGACGATCTTAAAAAGTTTACTGGCATAAAGAGAAAACAATAATGGCCCGAGACAGCTGCCTTGTGGAACTCCAAATTTAAGATTAAAATTACTCGATAGAACTCCGTCTATATAGATGCGCTGGGTTCTGTTAGAAAGGTACGATTCAATCCACTTAAGTGCAGAGCCTGAAATTCCAAAATCAAATTGGAGGAGACCTGAGAGCATCCGAGGGTCCACTGTATCAAACTCGGCGCTTAAATCAAGAAGCACTAACAAGGTGACCTTCTGATTTTCCATGTTCATCAAAATGTCATTCTTGACTTTAAGCAGGGCAGTTTTTGTGCTATGGTGCCGTCGATAGGCTGATTGCAATGAAGGAAAAAGATCTTGCTCATTTAAGTAGGACTGAATCTGATCAGCTGCCACTCTTTCAGCTAATTTTGAAACAAAAGAAAGATTACTGATTGGTCGAAAGCTTTTAAAAACCAAGTCAAGACCTTGTTTTTTCAACAGTGGTGTAACAACCAACTCGTTCCAAATGTCAGGGAAAAAACCTGATTCAAGATACAAGTTTATCGTAGTTGATAATATCGGAAGTAACTCATCAAGGCAATCTTTCAAGATATTAGTTGGAACAGGATAAAGTAAACAAGATTTTGTCGGCGCTGTGAGGACAAGTTATTTAAAGAGTCCATGTTTACACGGCGAAAAGCAGTAAAAAACGAAGAACAATGAGAAGAATGGCGGTTAACAACGCTGCACAAATTCACAGTTGCATCAAGGCTAACACGAAGATCCGATATTTTCTTAATAAAGAACGACGCCATGTCATTAGCCAAGGCTAACTTATCGCCGTGAGGTGGAAAAGGCGCATCTGCTGTCTGAATGAACAGTTTCTTTGTAGCAGAAAAAAGCTTGCGTTGATCACCAGAAATGTTGCTAACAAAATCTGTGTAAAATTTACGACGAGACTTATTCATGAGAAAGACAACTCTGTTCCGAAGAAGTTTGAATGTTCTCCAGTCAGATTCACACTTTGTAGACCTCCAGTTACGCTCAGCTATCCTTCGGCGACGTTTCGCAGATCTGATCTCATCAGACAACCATGGAGCTTGAGCTCTTTGAGTCATGGATCTCTTCCGCCAAGGAGCGTGTTTGTCGGTGATGGACTTTAAAGTAGTATAAAAACAGTTAACGAGATCAGCAAGGTGATTGGGAGTGTTTATAAGTAGCAATTCTAAAGTACGGAGATCATTCTTAAACTTGGGAAGATTAATCGATTTAATATTCCGAAACCACACTTCTTTAACAGAGGACTCTGACTTGTAACCTTTTAAGTTAAACAATACTGTCGCGTGGTCAGACAACAAAGAGCCTGAAATCGGTGTGTCTTGAATGATACTGTCCATTTTTCTGGTTATAACTAGATCCAGTATATGACCTTGAACATGAGTTGCAACTAGGTGCACATGTTGAACAAGCCCCAAAGAATCAATTAGATCCAAAAATGATGATTATCCTGTACGTCAACTTGGATGTTGAAGTCAACGCATAACAAAATGGGCTCCGTGCGTAAGACAAACGATTCAAGGTACTGGGAGAATTCGGAAACAAAGGAAGAAATTGTTACTGGATGCTTTGTGGAGTAAGGAGGTCTATAGACGATGGTAAGCCGTATGCTAGAGGATCCACTGATTAAAATCCATTCAGAAAATTCAAAAGAGCACCACATAGTTTTAGTTTAGCTTAGTTCATTTCACCACAGAAACCAAAAAAAAAAGAAAAGACGAGATGCAATGTGGCAATGTGGCAAGGAATCCCAAAGAGAAACCATAAGGCTTACAGAAAACTCGTCAGTACCCTGTGATCGTAGCCTTAAGTTAAGCAAACTTTGCCAAACCGTATTCAACAAACAAAATACTGAAGACAAGATAGATGACGAGAGGTTCTGGCTAAAAAGAAACGCCCAAGGTGCTTTATGTTATAATTTGCTCCCCATTTATAGGGTAAGATACTGTATGGGGTCATATACTGGTCCTTTAGAAGACGGGTACTAGCTAGCAGACGTGGTCCAAATAAACTAGTTAATATGAACTAAGATTAATTATCAATATAAACTTGAACATATTTAATTACGTTTCTCTCTTAAATGGTCTAATTTTTATTGGGTTAAGTACTGTTTGTCCCACCATTTTCACGATTTGCTTTTTTTTAGTGAGCGTCGAGATCTCCTACTTTGCTCGTCAAATTCTTCTCAAAAATACTAGTCTTGCTCCCTAACACTCAAGTTTGTGAAGATGATGTGAACTGCAGAAATACAAATTTAAATAAAGATATGGTCGTCGCTGCAGTGGTAATGGCAATTGAAGCAGTTGCAAATTTACCTGAAAAAAAAATCGGGACTTCAACGGGATTGGAATCCATGGCGTCTGCACTAGCGCTCTAGTGTTCTACCAACTGGGCTATGAGGACCGACACATTGGGAGCAGGCCAATTTGTTGCGTTCATCTGATAGAGCACTGCAGTGTTAACGCAGAGGCCATCGGTTCGAATCCCTTTGAAATCCCGACATTTTAACACCGCGACGATCATAGTTCAGTTAAACTATATACGTTTGTAGCCTGCGAAAACATCCGTTTCTCCTCGCTCTTCGCCGCTGGGGACGTTTCGCGCGGAGGAACGTCTGCGACTCAGTGGCAAAAATTCCATACTGATGACGCAAATCAATGTTTACATAATAAATCCGGTAGTCATGGGGTTCCAAATACAAATTTGTACAGTTTTACCTGTCTTCTGGTCGATTTTGGTAAATTTTTGTGTTCATCTGCCAACGAGCTCCAGCAGAACTCAAATTCTTCTTCTAGAGAAGAGTATATTCAACAAATATTGACTGTTTTGCTAGAGATTCTTCGCGTTTACATTTGACCTCTGTGGCTTTTTGTCTTTTGTCTGTCATTCGTAAACAATAGCTAAAACAATGTAACTACTCTGTCGACCAATCAGCGCTTCTGACCAGATTCCGGACAGATTTTGCGTCATCAGTATGGAATTTCTGTCGCTGAGTCGCAGACGTTCCTCCACGCGAAACGTCCCCAGCGGCGAAGAGCGAGGAGAAACGGATGTTTTCGCAGGCTAATACGTTTGTGGTACGTGACTCTTAACTCTTAGCATGTAACTTCGTGTGCACGTTTCCTGATGCTCTGTATTGCGCAACTCTCCAAGCCGCGTCAACTTTACCGAGCATTTATATGAGAAAAAAGTTGACCCGAGCTAACAACGCTGGTGCATGCTCGGATTGTCTAAAGCAGCGCTCGCGCATGCTCTGATTGTCTCGTGTTGACCGAGTCCCTAGAGCCTCCGTGTACTTTTGTCCAGTGCGGCTTCTAGAAACGAGATTGGTGTTGATCCAGCTGGATAACACTGCCTCGTTACGCACATTTAGCCTCGCGTGTTCCTTTCCCTGAGCTCTATATTGCGCAAAAAGACTTCCCGAAGGTAGCCAATCAATTAACAATTATTGGTCAGGAAATGGTTGAGCAAAATATCGTGATTTGTCGTCAGTGGTGAGCACATCAATTATTAGCTGAAGCCGAAGGCTGAGGCAAATTATTGATCTGCGAGACACTGACAAATCACGATATTTTGCGATAACCGAGTTCAATAATTGTTTTATCATTCGATCACGGAGTTTGTTTTTTAAGGAATATCTTCGGGAAGCGAAGCGATCTGCCATTTTCACGCAAGAGCGATCGCAAGAAGGAGAAAAGCGTGGTTTCATTTACGCATGAGCAGAATAGTATTTGCAGCCAAAAACAGTTGAACGACATTGCGCATGAGCACACCATTATTTGTCGGCAGTTATTTGCAGGTCACCTGGTGGGCTCTCGGCCAATGCAAGGGAAGAAACATTTGCATCGAATATTAATAAATATTTTACTCAACCCGCCTCGAATAGCCTTTGCTATTTGCGGGTTGTTTGCTTGTGTTGTTTTAATCACGAAAGACAAGTCGATTATCCCAAGACGGAAAACACCAGCTCTTGAAACGTTAAAAGAAGCAAGTTGAAAGTAGCAACATAATGATATGTTAATGCCGCGTAACCAACAAGAACAAGCAAGGTTAATTTCTGGTGAGTATGCTTTCATTGTTTGCACCTTCGCCTTCAAGTAGTATGGGCTTATAATCCGATCTGGCACACTGGCGACGGTTCAGTAAATTTTATGTCTTAATTACGGGAGCGAAAACCCATCAAAAAAAGGGTATTCTCGCTGAAAGTTTTAATTTTATATTTGTTAAGGAATAGATAAAAATAATTTGTAGACTAACCCTGCGACTATGTCCCTGACTCAAGCCAATGTTTACACCGGAGATATAAAATATCATTCCAAATAGAAGCAAAGAGCAGTCAAGTCTAACAAAATGGTAAAATGTCTCCCTCTATTTTTTTCAATATATCCCATCCGTTCACATTAACCCTGACAAATTTTGGGCACACTTGCTTTGGCTAACAGGCTTCGCAATATTTTTTTCGTGTACGGAGACTGATTGATTTTTTTTATTTATTCGTGATTCGCAATCCTGTAATTTTTACGTGAGTGTGAAAGAATATTTTTCATAGTTCGTGCAGCGTGAAATTGGCCGTTTATATTCCGTTAATTTATTTTGCAGAAAAATATGTGGGACCATGATTGCAAACTAGCTATGGGAAACAACCATTTCACCCAATAAACATTATCCATTTCGGACCAGAGGCCATTTTCAGACCTGTTTATGTAGCCATTTAATTTTCGTCCTCTTCCCAACACGGGTTTTCATGCAGTAGGATAGTTTTTTTTTTCCTGTTTTTGCATCTGTCTTATTTATGTCTTTAACACGGAAGTAGCAGCACCCGCGTTGTCAGCGTAATAAGAAGATTGTCTCACACTGGATCGGATCACTCGTGCTAGTATTCCATTATTTCTGAACCGCTAAATGGCGACAAATCGTTAAAATTCGAAGACCACATATAAACTAGTAATTTAGGTTCGTTTGCTTTTTGACGGTAGCGTCATGAAATGAGACCGAAAGAAAAGTCAGTTTTTTACCGCTAGCTAGTTTTGCTGCATATATTTACGCGAGCGAATAATAATATTTAGGTTGGGCCATCTCCGCAAAGGCTCTTCGTGGCTTTTGAAACTAAAAATGTCCCTAGAAATAAATTAATACTAGCAACCATGTAACGAAATTTATTCGTCGCCAAATTTATTCACACCTATGCCTCGATTAGACTTGTTTCTTTGATTCTACTTTAAAACTGTTTGGTTTTCTGCGGGTGGCTGACATGGGCAACGCTGTTAACTGATGATCAATAGGATGAGACTGGGATCCCTTAAAGAGACGAATGTTTTTCTCGGGTTTTAATTTAATCATTCTTAAACAGACGGGTTTTCCCTATTGACATATATAAAATAAAGCACTACTTGAAAGCTGTGAATGGTATAATTAGTTATGTGTGCATTTGCCTAGCATTTTGCGAGAGGTTGATTATGATCATGAATGTACTCATAATCAGTTTTCGTTTAAAATATTTAATAGAAGACAGAGGGTATTTGAAGATTTATTGCCTGGAGAGTCTTCTAAATAGGAGAGAATCTTTAATCAGTTTTAGTTATTTGCTTTGTTTTGTTTAATTAAGAGTAGCAAACTCTGAGCTAAATTAAAAAGTGCAAATTTATTGTCTGTGGGGAATGCTACTAGAAAGCTAAATCGGAGAAGGAGATCGAACATTGGTTGCTCTTACAGATCTGTATTAGTCATAAGGGGGAAAGAATTGCTCAGATTTTTTCTAGGTCAAAACTTTGCAAAAGATTCAGATTCAGAAAAAGGCTGAGAAAACAGTTATGTAGATCACGTTCTTAATGAAGCGCACAATGAAGGAACAATGAAGTTGCATTAAGGTATCATCCAGGGTAAAAAAGCATCGTTTTTCTAAATTTGCAATTTTTAGATGATTAAATAGAGCTCATCAAGAGCTTTCTTGTAAAAAAAAATTCCAGGAAAAAATGTTTTTTCTGTGCAGACTTGTGGAGTGCAAAAGTTTTTTCTATGCTAATTATTTTAATTGATCGTTGACAAGTCCTGTCAAACTTGATACGCGTGCCGCTGTGTTGAACCAAGCTAATCACGCAATTTAACAGAAATCGTGGTTTACAAGTATAGTGCTCACTGTTTTTCCTTGAAGTTTGAAAGTGAATGCCTCCAAACAAGAAAAAAGAGCTTGTCCGTTTTCGTCCTCGACTCCAAGACGAAAGAAGACAACAAAATCGTTTTACCGCCAAAGAGTGGGCGTCGAAATTAGCAGAGAGCGACAAGGGCTCCTACTACAATCAAGAAAAATGGCTAAAAGATGACAAAGCTTCTGAAAAACCCATTGAAACTACCGCGAAATCGAGTTTCACGAGTTCGCTAGCGAGCAGAGCGAGCTTTTTAGGCCGCGAAGAGGCCGAAGTACTGTTTTGAAAGTCTATTGTAGTGGAAAAGAAGCTTTAAGAAAAACTCCAGGAAGCGGTTTGTGGTCGATTTTTCCAGGGAAGTATCGAACTTTGAAAAAATGTATCGAGTAAAAGTCGGCTTGGCTCAACTTGGCTTGACCGGTGCGAAAATGAAAACTGCCCGTTGCAAATAAGTAATGACGCTTTCTCGACAACAGAAAGGATCGAACAGAGCAGAGCCTTTGAAATAAATTGTTCATCTGTTGTCGGGTTTCGCTTTCAACTTTTCCTGCTGTGTCACTATTGTTGTCCCTTCTCTGGTATGCATCAGCATTGACAGCTTTGGTGTTATAATCTGTTGTAATCTCGTCACGGGTAATACGCGGCCAAAAATCTTTTCTCACTGTTCTCTCGAAAGGGAAATCAGGGCAAGTTGAGGGTACGTTTTAAACTCCAAGTCGCCAACCCGTGAACCAATTTGTTTGAAATTTGGCGAACTTACTGTCAGATAGTTTTTCTAAAAAACTGTGCCTGCGAATTTTGATTTCTTTTTTCGTTTTTGAGTTAGACTATTTTTTCACATGTAGTGCTAATGATTTGCTATCCCTAACTTCACCTGCTTATAACAACAGAACAAACGCACTTGACAAAAATCAGTGACACGGTTTTTTAGTCAAACGTCTTAAGAAGCGAATGCGATCTTAATTGGCTTCTTCCATCTATTTTTGGCTGGACTGGACTTAAATTTACAGTGACACCCACTTTCACAAAAAGCTTCTCATTTCTAAATCGCGTTAATATTTTGACATTTTAAAAGACAATAATCTGGAACTATTAAGCTTTCAGAAATTGTACGGTTTATGGCGGTATTTGTTAAAAGCGAAAGCGCTTTCGCCGATCAACGCGAGGAGGGTGCTTGAGGGTGGATGATACCTTAATATACATTAGGATTATATATTACAACTGTAAACGTTTTCATACACACCGTTAATCCATTTGTAAAAAAATTGAAACAAACAATGGCACACTTTATAAGTAAGCTGTTACACAAAAGCTCAAGTTTAAAATGATCGACTTTATACTATCAATTTGAGTCTTGATATTTCTAGTTGTTAGCTCTATTTTCTTCTGCTTTGTTTAGCAGAATAGAAAATATTTCCATTTTAAGTTTTAAAACAAACAACACAATAATTTTTGAAGTGGGCAATAGCCAACTGGTTGGCTTGAAGTGTGTGACATTTACAGCTTATAAACATCAAATCAACCTAAAAAACATGATAAGTCAACTGAAAATATATTTCTTTTCAAAACCCATATAGAATTTAACAAAAATACAAAGTTTTAGTGGGATCTGATTTACTGTGGTTCAAAGTAAGATAAAAGGAATAAAAATGTTCAAAGTCGGGAGTTTTACCAGATGAATACATGGTGCAGTTCCCACGCGGTTCCTCAAGGCGCTATGGCTGATTCAAATAATGATTAATTCACCCTTTTATAGCTAGCCTTCAAAATTAAATTTTTGTATTTAGATAAATCTCTCTCTACAATTTTTATATTTTCCTTCGTTTGTTCCGTCGTCGTATTCTTCTTATTTTGAACTTACAACTGGTACGCCATACAACCGTAAATTGCATACGTGTTACTTGTAACGTTCTTTAGTAGAAGATATGCGTTGGGCTAGATTTTAAACACTCGAAACACCTGCAGCCTTCTAATAATTAATTCGTTTGGTCTTGGCAAGGGAAAGGTAATGATACCCCATCCTGCTAATCTCTTAGTATAAATGATTTATCCCTCAATTATCGCCCCATGTAAGGGAAGACATTCTTGGATTCTGGATTTGACACTGTTTCGATTTCGGATGACACATTTTTATTATTTTTTTAATGCACTGGTCAGATCTAGGAGAGCAACTACGTCAGTGCAATGCCTATTAATCCTCCGAGGCAGTATGTCTTTGTTTTGGCTGTTGAAGTCAGTCTGCACTTGTTGCAAATTATACGTCTAGCAAGCACAGGAGACGCCTGTATGACGTACTATTTCACCCGAGGAAAAGACATGATTGAAAACCACGTCCTTCGAGGTCACGTGATCGCCAACCTTACAGCTCCAGAGCCTTTATTCTGCTTTAAAGCCTGCCGATTGGAGTGTCGGTGTATCTCGTTCAACTTTAAACAAAGCACACACCAGGATAACTGCCAGCTGAACGAAGAAAACAGATATACTAGCTTCGGTGCTTTGGAATTTGCGGAGGGATGGCAATACTACGATCTGGTTATTGAGTACAGCATAAGAGTAAGGGAACATGTACTTCTACCACAACCCTTTTCAGGACCCATAAATGACGCTCATTCATGACTTTTGATGACATTCCCCAGTTTTTATTCGCATGATGAACATGACTGATGGTTTTGTAAAAGGTTTTACTTTTCTTTTCGAATTAGCATAACTCATTCAAACTTGAGAAACTTTGTGCCACTTTGTAAATCCCGACTTATACCGCTCGATGACTGAATAGTTCACGCATTTCAATTTTCCTGGTACAGAGCAATAAAGGGTACAAAAGTTAGAGAGCCATACCATATCATGTGTAAGTAGATCAGGCTCTTAAAATAATTATCCATCTCCACCGGTTTGGAGCTGCTCCTGAATTAATCCCTTCCAGGATTTTCATCAAGTTTCCTGCAGGGATTTCCCGCAAGATTCTCAGAAAGATCCCTGCCAGGATTTCCGTCAAGATTCAAACTTTTGACATGAATCTCAGATATATTTGAGGCCACCTTTGTCAAATCTTTGACCTGAGCGTTGGATAAATTTGACGACACTTCTAGCAAGATTTTGACTTTAATATCATAGGTGACGAATTACTCCTTAATTTTGGCACGAAATTTCAGCGTTAATTTGTAATTTCACATGGCAACCCTTCCGTACGTCTCAGTGTCAAGATGGCGACGAAGTTTTAAAATACCGTGAATGAAGATATCAGGGCACAAAAAGACGCTTTAGAAAACCTGAACACACAAGAGAACATCAAGAAGGATTCTAACAGGTATTTTTCCGAAAAAGTCCGAAAAATTCTGAACTTTATAAGCCAAATTTAAGGTCTAAACATTTGAGAGAGCGGAGTTCTCGATCGATACGATCCAGGATAAACATTTCAAAAATCCAAGACTGCTAACTTAACTCGTCACCCATGATATTACTAGGTAATCAAATGGTATACTTGTGAAATTAGGGAATAATTTCACTTGCATTTTGTCCAAATCCTAATAATTTCCCTCGCATAAAGGCTCGGGAAATTATTAGGATTTGGACAAAACGCGCGTGAAATTATTCTCTAATTTCACTCGTCATTATTTGATTACACATACTAATCTCAGACATTATTTTACCCGCAACTTTGCGTACCTTTGGCTTAAATTTCAGACATATTTGGCGACATCTTTGATAGGGGCACAAATGCTAATCAAACAACACCCTTCAAAGGTGAGGTGTAAAGGCGTGACAAAGGCGCGCTAAATCGCCTGAAGACCATTATTTGTCGCGCGTCAAAGGTGTGCAAATGTGGTCTTTATCGATCCTCTGTAAATCCATTATTTCGTCTCGTGGAAGTTGAGCTAAGTAGACCCATAACTAACTCGACCCTAAGATCGACGAAGATGTGATGTTTTTTGTGCTCACTGGGTCTAATAATTTTCTTGAATTTCTTTTCAGCCCAATGCTCCCGCCGTTGGCTGTCAGAACGGCTGCTGTGAAAGCAATCCTTGTCTTAACGGGGGAACGTGTCACGAAACTTGTGACGTCATCGGCAAACGTTTCAATTGTGAATGCGGTCCGCACTCTTATGGAAAGCTCTGTGAAGCTAGTAAGAGACCTTATTTTATTATTAAAATGATATGATTTTCTATCCAGCAATGAAATACAGGGAGAACTGATCATGAGACGAGCTTTTGATTTAGAGATTTCTTGGATCGTTTGGGTGGACAAGAGTAAGCTTTAATAGACCTATTTACCGATACGGCGGCCAAATTGAATTAATTCGATTTAAGGAGTATTATAGGATACCCAGGGGGCATGAGCATATTTCGTTTGTATTTTCGAGCACTTTTCGGGACAGTTGTTCGTAAAGTTTTCTTACAAGAAGATTGTAATGGGAAAAAAGATCCTTGTGCCGTGTTTGAATACAATAATGATCGCCTTTTTCCCGAGAAATATACAATGAAAGACCATATTTCTAATACTAAACTGGAAAAAGGCGATAATTATTACATCCAAACACGGCACAAGGATCTTTTTTCCATTACAATCTTATTCTAGGAAAACTTTAAGAAAAAATGTCCCGAAAAGCGCTCGAAAATACAAACGAAATGTGCTCATACCCCCTGGGCATCCTATAATCCTCCTTGAATCGAATTAATTCACTATGGCCGCCGTATCGGTGAAAAGGACTATTGGTCGAAGGCAACCAAAGACAACCGTTAATTAAGCAATCGTTGTTAATCTGTGCGTTCTTCTTCCATCCAAACAACTCAGAAACTTTATGTTGAGAGTTTGTACCATTCTCCCTTTTGTTTACGTATAGTGACGATTTTTTCTTAATTAACACATTATTATTATTATGACTATTTTGGCTTAAATCGTATCTTACTGGCAAATGTTTCCCTGATAGAACGAACTATATAAAATACTTCAATTTTTGAGAGGAAAGTTTACAAAAGAGGTACTATAACCCATAAGTGCCCTGCGTAACAGGCGTCATCCAGCCTAGTACCTGTTAAAGAGCGCAGGACAGGGACGGCAACCGCGACAACTTGCAGTCTTTTCAGCTTTCAAAGAAGTGCCAATCCACAAAGTTTTATCCACTAAAAGGTACAATGAGCTCTCCCAGTCATTTTTAAAACGAAGTACCCCTACCGAAGAACTCGAAGAAGTTCACTAACATTCAGCTCGATGAAAACGCGCCTAAATTTAAAAGGAGGGCGGAGAATGGAACACGAATGGAATGGGCTAGTTTTAAGCGATTTATTACTCTTTTTGAGGTTACATTCAATGTTACGGTTCTGATATGGCAAAACATGCTCACAATCCAAAAAATGTCACTCAGTTAGTGATTTGTCCATTGTTAACGTGCATGCGTGTGTTTAGAGCCGGAAAAATCTCGTCTATGCAGATGAGCCATTTCAAAAACCGTCAATGTTCTATTTGTTTTTGTTGTTGTTGTTTTTTTTTTTCGCAGAGACATGCACTACTCCTGATTGGCTATACTATAATAACTCGTGCTTCAAAGTGTTCACGGAAGAGGTACCCTGGTTTGACGCGCGAAAGTCTTGCACCACTATCGGCAGTAACCTCATCTCAATTCACAGTACAGAAGAAAATAATTTTGTGCAGCAAGAGAAATCGCTGATTTCGAAGTCGTCTGCCTGGATAGGACTGTTCAACTTAAACAGTACAGATCGTAGCTATGAATGGGTAGATGGTTCCATGGTGGACTTCAGAAACTGGGGAGATGGTGAGCCAAATAACGATAACAGCGGTGAAAATTGTACCGAACTGTACCGTGTGAACGGAAAATGGAACGACGAATCGTGTTATGCAAACAGGACATATGTTTGTGGCAAGAAATTTAGCCCTTGAAGGCCCTCGCTGACAGAAATGTATTTACATTCGGTGAAGCTAAACATAGGACGGTGACAGAGAATGTAATACTTTCCTATTGTTATGAACGCAAGTGAGCCGTTATGGCCTCAATTGATTTTACTGCTGTGAGGTCTGTAAGATTTTGACAGTTGTAATGTATTTATCCCAGCTCTCGAACGTTCAAATTTTATTTTAATTTTATGTTTTACTTCATTTATCTATTGACTGACTTTTAACCTTTAACCCCCAGAGGCTGTGCGACAGCATTGGCTGAGGAATACGTTCCCAATTTTTCCCATTGGGTTTTAGGGTTTAAGAATCAAGCGGCGCACATATCTAATTTTGTGTGAGTGACTTTGTTTTTTAGTTACGATGCTGGACTTTGTTAGATATTCGGACGGTAACAAACAATCAGGCTCATAGTTTGATCTGCACACCCATTCCCGTCTCTTAGTTGTGACAAGAGAGAATGGTCTTGGTCGGAACTGCTTTGCACACCTCGAGGATTGCTGTTAATGAATATTGATATTAGAGTAAGTGCGAAATATTACTTGCATGTCGCTTATGAAGTCATATAGTGCAACCATAGTAACCGTCGGTCATCAAACTGTGCTATTTTAACTAACAGCTGAACTATGTTCAAGGAATAAAAGAACAGCCACTAGAGACAAGACGTGTTGCCTTAAAAATACTCTTCTGCACCTCCTAAGGGCTGTTCTTCTTTTGAGTTATGAGAATGATATGATGCGAGATGCGAATACATACGGTCAGCATTTTCAATACGAAGGCTGTTGTATAATTTTTTAGACACGAAAAGCTATCCTGTATATAGAGAGTGTATAATTTATAGAATGAACAGAAATTTATCCGCTACATATTTGACGATCTTCTGTCAAGATCGTCGTGGTGCCTCTTCGCTCTGTTATTTAACAATTATTCCTCGAGCCCGAGTGGACTCTGAGTCAATGAGGGCGAAAGGAATAATTGTTTTAGTAAAATCCAAATAGTTTGTAAAAAATATCGAGACGAAACAACTTTAGCTCGCAAAGCGCGATTCAGCCGCCACTGTTTTGGTTTTCAAATCCAGCGCTTTTCGCTACTAGTGGGCTATAACATATACCCTGATAGTAGCTCAACCAATCAAAACGCAGCACTGATAATAGACCACTGGCTGGATTTTACTAAATGCCGTTATAGAAATCGCTCAGAAATCACCTTTTCATTACACGCGCAAAAGCGACCCGAGTATGGTAAAGGTAAAGCCTTGGCAAGGTGTCCTCCAAGAGAGGACCATGACATGTAAAAATACCGTAATATTCTTGAGTAGTGCTCCATAGTAAACTGAATTGGGAATTACCCCTGGTTTTTTTGTCTGATTCGCACGTGTACAAAGCTACCCTGCGAGCCGTGGTTCATCAGGTTGGATGCTACGCTTTTTCCGTTTTTAATAACCTTCAGAGTGGAGGCAAGGCACAAAACAGACAAACGATGCATGTGTTTTATAACGAAAATTCATACTTGTGGACTGGGAAAAAGTGAAGCCTGTATAAGAACAGTACAGAAAGGCAACGGGTCTGTAGATATCTGCCGAATCGACCTCAAAGTATCAATAAATAAATTAAATTTTCAACCATAGCATCTGGGTAACATTAAGTTTAACTTTACAAAGAGAGAAAGAGAGATACTGTGTTTATTCGAATAAGCGTCCAACCTCGAATTAGCGCCCACCTCGAATAAGCGCCCATCCTAAAGGTAGAAAAAGTTAACAAGCGCCAAGCCTCAAATATGTGCCCAACCGGCTGGTGCGCCCACCTCGAACAAACGCCCACTATCAAGGTCCAAAACGGAACTAAACTGACGGCGACGACGATGATTAAAAGAAGAAAATATCAAAACCCAAAAAAGTCCCTCGACGAAACCCATAAACATCACTGGACCAAAATTAACTCCAAAAAGTCCAATGCCGAATGAAACTTTAAAAAGGTTTAAAATATTTCCAAAAACGGAAATTGGATGGATAAGGATGTCCAATGTGTAATGTACAATGTCCAATGACCAATGTCTGATGTCTGACAACTCATGTCCGATGTATGATATCCGATGTCCGATGTAAGATGTCCGAAGTCGGATGTCCGATGTCCGATTTCCGATATCCGACGTCTAATGTCCAATGTCTGATGTCTGATGTCTGATGTCCGATGTCCGACGTCTGATGTCTGATGTCCAATGTCCGATATCCGATGTTCGACGTCAGACGTACGATGTCATGTCAGATGTCGGATGTCTGATGTTCGATGTCCGATGTCTGAGGGCTGACGTCAGATGTGCAATGACCGATGTCTGAGGGCTGACGTCAGATGTCCAATGACCGATGTTTGACGTCTGATGTCCGATGTTTGACGTCTGATGACCGATATCTGATGTCTGATGTCTGATGTCTGATGTCTGATGTCTGATGTCCAGCGTCTGATGTCCGATGTCCAACTTCTGATGACCGATATCTGATGTCCGATGTCTGATGTCCGACGTCTTATTACCGATATCTGATGTCTGATGTCTGACGTCTGATGTCTGAAGTCTGATGTCCGATATTCTATGTACGATGTCTGATGTCCGAGGTCTGATGTCCGATGTCCCAAATTTGATTTCTGATGTCCAGCGTCTGATGTCCGATCTCCAACGTCTGATGTCCGATGTCCGATGTCCGATGTCCGATGTCCGATGTCCGAAGTCTGATGTCTGATGTCCGATGTCCGATGTCCAACGTCTGATGACCGATGTCTGATGTCCGACGTCTGATGTTCGAAGTCCGGTGTCCGATATTCCATGTTCGATGTCTGATGTCCGACTTCTGATGACTGATATCAGATATCTGATGTCTGATATCCGACGTCCGATGTCCAATGTCTGATATTCGAGGCCTGATGTCCGATGTCCGAAATCTGATGTCCAATGTCTTAAGTCTGATGTCCAATATCCGATCGAGTAATAACCAGACTGATTGTGATGAGCTCTCTAGTGTTAATAACCATATCGTCTGAGTTAATATTTTGGAATATATTTCATAAAGGATCGTTATTCTTTGAAATATGTTTGCACTCATAATTTGTAAATTATTGTTGGCGTAACTTTTCAAGAAGAATTTGCAGTAAAAATTAGAAGTAATGCCAGTTGTAAGATAAGCCTGTTTTGGGAGCACAATTTGCCAAAAAGGGAACATGTTCACAAAACCCTTATTTCCCAAGAGTGAAAAATCACCAGTTTTCTCCTAACAATACCAATACGCAATCTGAACCAAATAGAGTGTTTTCACATGACGTCACGGCGGCCATATTGGTGTCCCAAAACAATAAAACGGCGGCCATGTTGGTGTCCCAAACCAGTCCCCTGGGAGTTGAACTCTTTTCTTATGCAAACGATTTCTTTTGTTACAATAAATTTGCATATATGCTGGCCACGTGAGTGAAAACACTCTATAGAGCCTGAGCATTAGTAAAATGATCATCTGATAGGAATTCTTGGACCTTTTCTGCCTTTTATTAACTTCTGTCCCACTAATTCTTTAAGGTAATGTATGGAGAACAGTCTGGAAACCTAAAATGCAACTTTACTGCAATATGAAGACTTTCAATAAGTTCATTTTATACCTAGTCTCTCTGGCAGCCGTGTTAAGTCTCTGCGAGGGAGAATTTTTTTGCCCAGCTGTAAGCGCGTTTATTCTTATGTTGAACCGAGTGCTCTACATTGCAAAGGCGACGATTTTTAAGTGAACAACAAGGGAAGCAGCGGTAAACAATCAAATAACGATTTCCGTTACGTGTACGTTGGTTATGTGAGAACTTGCTATAACAAAAGCTAAAATAGAACAATAGTGCCGTTCTTGGACAAGGCTGAAAGTGGAGTTCAATGACACAGAAAAATTGTAATGAATATATTTTCTGTCGCCACAATTGATTCGTAAAGGTATGTGTTGGGAAACACACAGTAACAACTGGGCCTCTCCTTCCAGCTACCCTCCAAAGATTCGAAGGGTAGTTTGCACTTCATTGTGGGCCATTGGTAACCTGACCTGCCGTACAAAATTCTGCTGAAATGAAGTTTGGGTGAGTGTATCGTCCCGTCATTGATGCCTACTGTACATGTAGCTTCAGTACCTCAAATATCATACTTGGGAGTTTAATTAAGTACTTTGTGATTGCACACCCAACCAAGAGCCAATCACAGGCGGGAATTTTTTAGTAAACACCTGCTGCCAAGACAATAAAATACTAAAGATAGACACTTCAGAAATAGCGGGACAGGAACGTCAATAATAATAATAATAATAATCCTTATTGAGGATATCAATTTCACTGATAAGTGATTTACAAAAGAGTCCTCAAAACGTATACATGCCACTTACATTATCAAGAGGTAAAAGGGATAGCTTTCCGGTGAGTACAAGCATTTGACAGCCACGCATCTCTTGCATGGCGCCTTTTGTACTTAAGTACATTGCTAGGCCTCATTCATCTCAGTCAATTCTTTGGCAGTAAATACTTGAATTCAAAACCTGCTCAGAGCCTTTCTTGCTCCCAAAAGAGGATACTCCTCTTTGAAACTAATTACCTTTTAAGTTAAGATATGAAGGAAACGCTTAGTGGCATTCAGAATCTTACAAGTACATTTATAGTTTTATGACATGGCACACTCAGTCATGCATATCTTGCATAGTTATAGCGCTTTCAATTACATTGTCAGTATAATAAGACCAGGTGTAAACTGAGTCTGCAATAATGTGGAAGGAGAAACTAAGTCTTCAGTTTCTCCTATTACGAAACCATAACTTACACCCGATGGAATTATGAACAGCGAAGAATGATGGAAATAAAACCAAAACAATTTAAAGTGAACGGGACTGAACGGCCAATTAACTTACGCCGAAAAACGATTTTAGACAGGTATTTCATACTTGGGAGTTTAATAATTTGTAATCGAACACTTAGCCAAGAGCCAAT